AAAACTGGTCTTTATATGAGGCTGCGAGAACCATGTTCTCATTTGCGAATCTACCGCTCTATTTCTTGGCTGATGCGATTGTAACAACGTGCTTTACACAAAATACTCAACTCTCGACAAGCGATTCGCAGTTACTCCCCATGAATTCCTGAATAAACGCAAACAAACTGTTAAGTTTTTCCATGTTTTTGGTTCTTGTTGCTTTGTTTTCAACTCCAATGACCAACGGAACAAATTCGATGTGAAGGCTGATGAAGGTACTTTCTTGGGATATTTGCTGACCTCCAAGGCATATAAGGTTCTCAATAAAAAGTCCAAGAATATCGAAGAAACCTATTATGTCACTTTCGATGACAACTATTTAAAGATGAACCGGTCAAAGGAGATCTTTCCACAAGCGAATTCTGCAACCATACCATTGGCTAATCTCTACGACGAATTCATGCTTTTATCTGATGAACCAGCTAAAGCTATTTCGTCATAATCCAAAGCAGCCGATAATAAAAAGTCCGGATTAAAGTAAATAATCGATGATGCTGTGAAAGATCTAGAAAGAAAACCTCATAGTCTGAAAGACTCACAACCAACTAGCACACCAATCCAAGGGGAGGGTTTTAAATCTACCTCTACACCTGACTCACCTCTCCAAGGGGAGAATTTTGATTCAACTGCCAGTTCACGCTTTCATGGGGAGCAATCCGTTTAACAAGATACGATCACTCCATTGCAAAGGAAGGGTTTTAGTTCATCTAATAACCCACCAACAGTGACTCACGAACCTCCATTTGGAGGAAACAATTCCATTCCTGAAGTAGATGAACTATCATCATTCGAGAGGGAGAATAGAGATGCGAATGATGACTCGGATGTACAATCAGAGTTTAAGGAGGTAAACACAGAATTGGATCCTTATTATTATCTGAATTACCCTCCACTAACCAAATGGACCAGAGATCATCTGAAAACCCAATTCATTGGAGAGTCTTCTACAGGACTGCTCGCGAGATCCTAGCAAAAAGCAAAGCAAACTGCATTATTCTATAAAGTGGAATTTTGTATGTTTAATTAATTTTTTCCATAGTTGAAACCAAAACTGTTAACATTACTCTTGATCATTATGATTTGGTGCAAGCGATGCAAGAAGAACTCAACAAGTTTGAACGAAGCAATGTTTGGAGGTTGATTCCCACTCCACCAAATGCATTAGTCATTCGTTTAAAATGGGTGTTTCACAACAAGTTGGACAAAGAAGGGAACGTGATAAAAAACAAGGTGAGACTCGTTGTCAAGGGATATTACTAGGAAGAAGGTATTGACTACGAAGAAACCTTCGCACTACAAGGTTGGAATCCATTCGCATCTTCTTGGCTTATGCAGTCCACAAGAACTTAGAAGTATTTCAGATGGATGTCAAATGTTCATTCTTGAATGGCAAACCTTAAGAGACATTATATGTGGAACAGCCACCTGGCTCGTAAACGAGATGTACCGTAATCACTATTACTTCCTAGACAAGGCCGTCTACGGTCTGAAGCATGCTCCAAGAGCCTGGTACGAAACTCTTACTAGATTCTTATAATTGTCTAAATTTAAACAAGGTTCGATTCACCCAACATAGATTTTGTAAGAAAGAGGGTGACCACTTGAGGATTGTCCAAATTTATGTTGATGACATCATCTTCAGATCTACTAATCCCAACCTAATAGTTGAATTCCGAAAGTTTATGGAAACTAAATTTGAGATGAGCTCTATGGGTCGAGTTAACTTTTTCCTTAGACTGAACATTAGATAGAGTCAGGAAGGTATCTTTATTAACCAGCAAGCTTACACGAAGAATCTACTTGCAAAGTTTGGGATGGTGGGAGACTCAAATACGAAGGTTCCAATGGCATTCGAAATGAAACTTAATCCTTCTTTGGATAAACCGGCTGCAGACATGACACTCTACCGTCAAATGATAGGTTCCTTAATGTATCTAACTGCAAGTCATCCAAAATAATCCTCGAGAACCTCACATGATGGTAGCCAAGAACATTTTCAAGTATCTAAAGTGAACGTCATCACTTGGAATCTGGTACGCTTCACATTCTAGCTTCTTTGTACAAGCTTTTTCGGATGCTGATTTTGGAAGATGTGGGCTAGATAGGAAAATTACAACTGGATGATGCTAATTTCCCGATGGAAAATTTATCATTTGGCAATCCAAGAAGCAAACCTATGTGTACCTATCAATAGCTGAAGCTGAATATTTAGCTGCTGCCTCATGCACTTCACAGGTCATATGGATTCAAAGAGAGCTTTGTGATTATGGTTTGAGTATGAAGCTAATCCCATTATATTGTGAATATGAAAGTGCTATTCTCATTTTTCACAACCCAATGCAACACTCAAAGACGAAACATATAGCATTGAGATACCATTTCATTCAGGATCACGTAAAAGACGACAATGTTGAAATTCACTTCGTAAGATCCGCTGATCATTTGGATGACATATTCATAAAAGTCTTGCCTGAAACAACCTTTAATAGAATTATTTAAGGCCTAGGCATGATGGAAGACGAGTCTGTATCAAAAGCTCTTTTGCATCAATAAACTGAACACTGCGAATCGGTGCGAACGCTTGCAGTAGTTCGCAGTCTACTTCATCACTGCGAATCGGTGTGAACACCCATAGTAATTCGTAGCCTACTATTCATTCGCAATCTACTTTAACACTGTGAATCGGTAAGAACACTCGTAGTAGTTCGCAGTCCATTGTTCAGTCGTGGTTCGGATTTTCCAATATCCATTTGTACTTTATGTATAATGTTTCTTATCTTTGTTTCATTTTTCAATCTTTTCTATTTTTAATTCTTTTTTAGAAAATTTCAAAATTTCAAAAATAATTTGTTTATTTCTGTTTTTATTTTATTTTTAATTAGAAAATTCCTAAAATACAAAAATATTTTATTTGTTTTTTTTTTTATTTTTTTATTTGTTTATTTTATTTTCTCAAATCTTAAAACTCCAAAAATATGGATCATCTTTTGTTAATTAACCATTTGTGCAAGGTTCAAGGCTAGAATCATAACATGAATGATGGGGCAGGTATATAAGTTTTTTTTACCTATGTACTAGCTAAGTGTGCCTAGACTGCTGCATGTTGTCTAAAGCCTCAACGACCTTATGTTGAATCTTAATGAATTGATACCACCAATCATTTCTTCCAAATTAGGCTACGATTTCACATAAGTCATGAGCTACCTTAATCTTCTCATAATGAGTTAGGAGTTGTCTACTTGGTCAATTTAGCATAGCAAAGGTACATTCGTTTCCTTAAACCACCTTACACTATTCTCCATTACGTTCACTTTCATAAAAGTAACCCTTGAGACTCTCAACAATTACCACTAAGGTTTATGGTTGCACAACATCTGTGTTAATGATCTTCGTTTCGTTCAACCACAAACTAAGTGAAACCCAAAATTCAACACACTTAAATGAATTGACGGTGAACAATTAAACGTTCAAGATTTTCATCAAGGAATTAGCGAATGATATATTCGTGGTCTGTACCAAGAAATCTATTTTTCTTTTGTGAGATCTTTATGAAGTGTTTTTTTCCCAAGACATTTCTTCCCATAAGATCCAATTTTTATTTTTTAGAGATTTATAAAAATTTCTTTGTCGCTCAGGTATTTCCTAACCTACTCGTTCAACTCACTACACTGGTCACACGAGTACTTCCTCCGAACGTTCGTACTTATATCAAGTTTCAGGGTTTGGTTGAAGATAAAGCCACCCTTTTTGCCTAAAGAAAAGATGCCTTTCAATGTTTCTTCATAAACAACTGATCGTATTTCAACGGGAAATAACACAGATACTTCTTAGTCTCTCTTGACTTCGAAGAAAGAGATCCATGCCCAGGATCCACAATTTCGTGTCTTATTAGACATCACTAGAATCATTTAGAAATTATTGCTTTATTCTTGTATCTTTGGCACATTATTGCATGAAGATCCTTATTATTTTTAAAAGTCTAGTTTGTGGTTCTTAAATTCAGTTTCAGGTTCGCTGTTCACCCAATGTTCTCTTAAAACGAAGTTTGCTTTCATATGAGACAGATGGAATTACACTCAACTGCGAAAGGGGAAAAAGATGATGCGACAAGTTCCTAAGGATAAGAATTCAAAAAGGGTGCGTGAACTTTTGAACGGACGGTTCAGTTTCGCCGTATGAAACTCCTTTAGTTTCGCCGTATGAAACTCCTTTAGTTTAAGAACTTTTGAACAGACGGTTCAGCTTCTCCAGATCGTCCGAAACTCCTTTAGTTTAAGAACACACAAGGCAATCCCAACTTCTCACCATCAAACCACATCAAAACCTGATCATCGATCTTGATCCCGACAAGTATGAAAGCCACTTGCTTAAGATCATCAAGTGCCTGAAGTATTCTCCACTGATCATAGACCTAACCAAGATGGAGAGTATTCTGATGTCAATGCTATCAAAAGCCTACTCTTATGCATGTTAAATCAAAGAAGAACAGAGGATTACGTTTGAGATCCTCAATCACAAAACCTCTATCTCTAAATCATGATTTTGCTCCGTTCTAGGACTTCCTCTATCAGACAACATGATTAACCTAAAATCTGTGTCCAACGCCGCTCTATTGGAGATGTTTTACCAAATGGGTTATAAAGAAACCCTAACCGCTATGTCCAAGTTCTGGAAAACCAAATTTGCCACCACAATGGAATGACCTTTTCACTCTACTGTTCAAGGCATTCTCTGAAAGGGGTACTAGGTCTGATTGCACCAGCAAGCTGCTCATGGCAATTATCTATGACCTTTACACTGGACTGAACATTGACTATGGTGCTATTGTTTGGGCCTAATTAATGCAAAGCACACTATCAACCAGTCATCACAGGGAAATCTCTTGTGCACGATTCTGGTCTATCATTGTTCAAAGGTCTATCACCAAGTTGAAGATTCCTATTATGCAAGATGCCTTAATGTCCAACGTTTCAAGCGTTCACACCACCGGAATCATTGTTGCAGACACTTCTAAGTTAGAATTTGTTGGCTCAATCCCTAAAGCCATGCTCTGTGATGTACCTCGTGCCAGCAAAGTCCTTAAAGGCTATTGTACTATTCCTACCTCAAGGTTTCGTCCTTTAACTCCTAAGATGCAGTTGATTATAGCTAAAGCAGATAAACCAAAGATAGGGGGTAAAAAAGGGTACAAGAAGGGAGAAAAGAAAAAGGGTGATAACTAAGATCCATCTGAGCCTTCGAACACACCCAAAAAGTGAAAGGCAAAAGCTGCTCCATATACAATTGCTCCTAAAAAACGAAAGTTGAAGAGGGTTACTCACAAGACCATGTCCTCCACTCCATCTGACAATGAACATTAGCAGTCTGACACTCAGTCCATGTTTGCAATGAGGAAGAACAACACGTTCGTAGTGAGGAAGAACATCCTGTTCGTAACAAGGAGTAACCACCTGTTCACATGAGGAAGAAGACTTATTCGTAGTGAAGTTGTCACATCCAACCCTAAGGTGACTCCTACTTATGATGATTTATTTCAATCTCCTTCTCATTAACCCAAAACTATAGCCTCTTCTACACCAATAACTATTGCACCACATCCCCCACCAATATCTTCTCAACCTCAATGCACAATTCCTTTATCTGCTCCAGCATTCTCTGATTCCACTCTCCCTCAACAATGTCTGTAGAACCTCTTGTTTCAGTCAATGCATCTGATGCGGGGGTTAATACTTTAGGTTTTACAATGTCTTCTATCACACCACCTATTTCCCCACTTCGCCAAGATGATCCTGATATGATCTATGGGGATGGTGAAGACAATTTACCAGGATTCACTTTCAGTCCCTTCACCATTAGAATTGAGAGTGATGATCAAGCTCCGTTAATGAAGGGGAAACTTAAAGACATTCATGAGAAGCTTGATTCTTTTCTTTAGGCTTTAAAGCCTTCCTCCTCTGATGACTACTCTCAAGCTTAAGTCAAGTCCATTCTTGAAACCCTCACCACAGAACACTCATCTAATCTTGAAAGGATGAACAAGGCAGTTGATGAATCCACCTCGGGTTGTAACAAAAAGACTGAAAAAGTCGATAAACTAATTTATGATGCTCAAGTTTTCATGGAGAAATTCGAAAACTCCTTTGAGTCCAACACTGCTAAAGCCAACGAAATATTTTCTGGCCTAGGCTTTTCTCTAAAAATTGAAATGGCAAAATTTCAAGAGGTTCGTACTGGTCTTCAAAATGACCATGAAAAGTTCCAGTCTTCTATTACCTCTCAGTTCTCAAAGCTTCATGAAGATTTGGCAATGGAAAACAAAATCATGGATGCCTTTGCCCTCAAGACGGAAAAGGTGAAAGTCCTAACAATTAAGCTTGACAACGCTGAAAAACAGGTCAATGAATTATTGTCTTAGAAAGCAGTTATGAAGAGTTATATTGCAGAGGTTAATAGTATGCTCTGAGATATCATTGAAGCTAGGGACTCAATGATCACTATTTCTATTCGCAAACATCTAGCTGAAAAGCTACAACCTGTGTTCGCATTCCTTCATCGTTTATAGGGTGTTCCGGAATCCTCTAACATTCTGAAACAAGAGGGAGATCCACCACAATACCACATAAGACTTTAGCCAAGACAACTCCTTTAGTAAAGCCAAAGGTTAAAATCGAACCAGAGCCTAAAGGAAAAGAGAAGCTTTTCTCATATGAGCCAATCATAGATGATAGTGAAGAAGAGGAGCTTGATGAAGAAGAACTAAAAAGGAGAAAGGCTCGAGAAGCTGAGTTAGATGAACATCAGTGAATTGTTCGAGAGGCTGAAGCCAAAGAGAAAGCTGCAAGAGAAGCTAGGTCCATTCTTGAAAGCAGAAAACTCTTGTTTGCTGTTTGGACGCTAAAGGCGAATTCAGAGTAAAGCTAGTGACTCTCCGAATCAATATTTGTTAGAACCATTTGTGTTATTTGAACTTCAAAATACTCAATACTTGCAACTGGATCTTCCAATAACTCCCACGGCTTTCGAATTTCGCTCCTTTATCAAAGTTGGAAATGTTCAATCTATTGAAAATAGTGCTGATCAACTACTCTTAGCATTCTATCTCAAGCACATGAGGCCTCAGAACGAGACATGGAGTGCAAGAAAGATAACGATAGTGAAAGTGACTGGACCAATTGAAAAAGAAAGTTTTCCGAATGCAAAATTCAAAGTTGTCAGAGGTTTTGCGAGTCAAGTTCATGAATTCACTCTTGCAGACCTGCCGTGTATCAACCCATACAACTGGATCATGCTTTACAATCTATTGATGCCAGAAGAGCAGAAGAATGAGCCTGTTCTTAGTCACCTCAAGCTTATGATCATTTCCTATATTCAAGAGGTGGAACTATGGATGTCGAGATAGTTGTAGTCCTACGAAAGAAGCCTTCTATAGTTCCTAAAGAAGCTCCTGAGGGATTTGAGAAGCTAAAGCTTGGAAAATTTTACAAGGAAATTTGGTATGTGGTCTTTCAAGCAAGGGATATAAATGGTGCTGACTTTCGCAAAGCATGTTTCTTCCTCCCAGATAAACACTTATACTCTACTTCCTGTATCAAATTCATTTTGGATATTGTCAACAAAAATACAACCAACATTGCGGGTGATAAAAAGTGCTTCTCGAACATGATTTTTTGGTATGTCCAGGTTTGCAAGACTATATTGAGCATAATTCGAATGGTATTTGAAGTGAAAAAGCGAATTAAGCATTGATTTACTCTCACCTCATTGACGCAAAGGGGAGATTGTTAGGATAATTATGTTGCATTATTGGGCCTTTTGTATTGTTTGTTTTGTAAACGGGGTGGGCCTATCTTCCCATATTTATTTACTAGGATTAGAGTATTTAAGATGCATGCATGCATCGTATTTTAAAAACTTTGAATATTATCTTGTAACCCTAATCATGCCTCTACAGTTTCAATTCTTCATCGAGTTCTTTTGAGGCGTGACTTTTGAATCATTCAACATACTTTGAGCCATAGTTGTGTTCTTGCTTTAGTATGTTTTAAATTTAATAGATCATTTAAGGGTTATTAATCCCACAATACGCTAGGGTAGGGCCTACTATCATATGATCGGGTTGAAATATACCCAGAGCAAGGCACCAGGGCGGGGCCCATACTTGCTTATTGGGTTGGAATATACCCCAGGGCTAGGTCCAATTGTATGTTAGTATGTGGTATTTTGGGGAACTCACTAAGATTTGTGATTATGGTTTTTAGTTTATGTTTCAGGTACTTCTGTTTTCAAAGGGAAGAGCCCAAGATGATTGCAGCACACACACCACTCGATTCTGCATTTTGTTATTGACTCTAATTATTACGATGTATTGATAAAATTTGATTACCTTGGTTTTATGACACCGATATGGTTTACTGTTTTATAAACTTAAAAATGAAAAAATTTTAGGTCTTATTTTGGGAAGTTAGAAGTTGGTATCAGAGCCTTGGGTTGAGGGATTCAGGTACACTCACGAGGGTGACTGAACTCAAACTAAGGAGTTGGTAATTTTTCTTAATAAGAAAACGTGTTTTAAAAAGATTTTTGTAAAAGGAATGAAAATTCAAAAAAGATTTTTGTAAAGATAAAGGGGGTGTGATGCATGCAATCGACTGAGCTCAAGTAATTGATTCCCAAGAATATCCATACATGTTTAGTATGATTATATGCTATGGGAATTGCATGCTAGTATACGGCTTGGGATATTTTCAGGAATTGCATGATAGATTGGCCTAATATGTGATGCCTTGTAGCCTAGGGAGCATTGGACGCTATCCATGATTAGGAATATATATTGGTATCAATAATTAATATGTGTATGCTTTAAAAATTATATACGGTTAGGATCATATAGCACTAGAATGATTGATTTGGCCTTATTTCCTATTTCTTATTTGGTTGTGGTCCTAGGGTAAAGTCTTTTATTCGATAGTCTATTTGACCCTGTTTTGTGTATAATTTGCATGCGTAAGGCAACCAGCAGTGAGAGTGGAAGTTCCTAGCATGAGTTGTAGTATGTGAGTGGGAATGTTCTTTCCTTATTCTATGGATTGGAGTGCTATTGCACGAATGCTACTTGCTTTATGCTTTCTGGAACTTTTAAGTGATGCGAGTTAACTATTAGGTGAATATACTAAGTCATATGTGATGAAGGTTGAGCTCAGAGTGATAAATTTGACCCTATGTCGCAACTCTCATTTGAGTCTAACTGTTATAGGGATGAGTCTTTTACACGAAGGATTATTTGAGCTTTGTTGCATATGATTGTATTCATGAGATGGTTAACTGACATTATGGGGAGTTCTTCAGCAGCTAATGGCAAGGTGAGGTTGGGAACCTAGGAAAGCCTAGGAAGTGTTTTAGTGGGTTTTGTTGCGCTGTATAGCGAGCATTAGGGTAGCGGTTTTAGAAGGTGACTTAGAGGATTTGGGATGATTCTTGAGGAAAGTATGGATAGGTATGGAAGGTAGTATTGGGCTCGTAATACTGAAAAGACAGGATCTATACTTAAATCATAGAGAGTCTTGGAGAATCTATAAAGCCCATGGGATGAGGATTCTTATATATTTTCTGATCATTTGTTTAGATGGTGATGAGCGCATGCGGGAGATTACCCGCCGTATTTTTGAATGGACTCTTGTGATCTTTGGTTCGGTCAAGGGGGTATTTTGGAGCTCTTGGATGGTCATCTTGGGACCTTTCAGATCGAGATTGTAGCAGGGCAGTTAGGGGATCATTTGGAGCTGAAAGCTTGTGGACCCCTAGAATCCTTTAGGAAGGAGGATCATATTTCTAGTTCTTGTCAAATGGGATCGAAGGTCGGTTATGAACCATCTTTCTAGGAGGGTCGATCCCATGATTTGATTGCCAAGAAGGTTTTGCAAGCCTTACATGATGAGTTACCTAACATCATTGGGCGTGGTACAAATAGATTGTTTGTCGGTTTCGGGGGTAGGACCTTCGTTGTTCATACGAATGATGGGATGGTCGAGGTAACTCAAGAGTAGGAGATTGATTTGGGGCTGATGGGGAAGATGGGGCCAGAGCATATGTACGCAGTTGAGGGTCCTGTAGATAGACCCGAGACTTCAGATCAGCAATTGAGGGGCCAGTAGGGCTAGGGTCAATGCAACATGTGCGGGAAGCAGCATGATGGGGTTTGTCATTCTATGGGGCATGGGATGCTACAAGTGTGGAAGGATTGGCCATATCAGACGGGACTGTCCACAATATGAAAGCCCATTATGTTTTCACTACAACCAAGTGGACCACAAGAAGGCCGCCTGGCCAATGTTGAGGGGTGAAGCAGTGAGTACACCTGTTCCAGTTACTTTGAGTATCTCCGAGGATCATGAGTGTGACAACCTGAAATTTTCATTCGTACAAACTCTAAAGTCAATCACTTCAATTAAAAGTCAATTACATTTCTAATAATTGTTAGCCAATTTAAAATTCCGTTTGAGTGTCTTTAGTGTTTATTCTTCAAACGAACGAAGGAAAGGAAGTACCGTCTCGGGTCTTGAAGTAGCAAACCCACCCAATGCACTCTAATAAAGAGTTCAAGGCCAAAATTTTGGAGTTTGGGCCATAAACTCTTGTGTGGCCGTGAACTCATGCCTTAGGCATGAGTTTACTCCCCAAACTCCTCATTTCTCACTTCCACTCTCAAGTTTACTCCCTATTCTCTCTCAACTATCATACCATTCTTCACCCGATCTCCCAAAAATGTAAGTGTTTCTCGACTTAATTTGTTGTCATAACCTAACACTAGTAGTTATACTTGATTTCATCCATTCATATTTGATTTTCACTTAGATCTTCAAGTGTTCTTCAAAACACCAAGAGCACCAAGAACACACACTAATGTTCTTGGACCTTAAACACTAAACCAAGCTTCTATATTGTAAGTACACTTTCCCTAGCTTCTTGTGTGCTTAATATGAACTTGATAACACATGAAAATCATCAAAGATCATAAGTACAAAGGAGTTTACGGCCAAGGATGTTCTTGGGCCGTAAACCCCTCTTAAGGTGGTTAAATGGACCCTAGTCCTTTTCTAAGCCTTGAATACAAACCTTGATCCTTCTTAGAAGTGTTTAAGACCTTAAACAACAATCAAAACAAGTCCCCATAAGGTTTTACGATCGTAAACACCTAAGGAAGTGGTCCTTAGGCCGTAAACTCTATAAAGTAGCCTTAATGTTCCCCTAATGCTTTCCTAAGGCTTGGACTTGATCATTGGATGTGCAATCATGACTTGTAAGACCTCAAAACACAATATAGCACTTAGTACCATGAGTTTACGACCATAAACTCATGGGAAAATGGTCATAGGCCATAAACTCCGTAAGGAGTGGTCCTTGGGCCATAAACTCCAATGTCATGCCATACAACCCTTAGATGCAACCCTTTGGTACCTATAGCACTTGAATCAAAGTGTTTCCATGTCCTAGGGTGTCTTAATATGATTAATTAGTTGTTAAATGACTAATTAGATACATATCTGTTTATTATATGATAACTAGGATCATTGTGTGTGTTCAAGTCTTTACTTGACAGCTAGCACCTTGTCCAACACTTCTGACACTTCCGAACAAAACACTCACTACAGGTGAGTTCATACGCATTAATTAACCTTTGAAATGCTTTTAAATGTTTTTAAATGATTTATGGGGGATACAAGTTGAATCATGTTAGTTGTTAGACCAGTCACATGTGATTAATAACTAGCATACAAATGGATTTTTCATACTTTAAACTATTTTACCAATCAAATGACTTCAAACTGTTTATCAAACTATTTTACATGTTAAATTCCTTATCAAATTCACTTTTGTATACTAAACCTTTCTGTTACAGTTTTCAAACATATATATATATATATATATATATATATATATATATATATATTATTAAAACCATGTCTACCACATATATAGTTATATAAATAAGGTTTAAAGGACTTAGGAGAGATAACCCACTTTACTTCCTGTCCTTGTTTGGTTTTGGACTTACAGTAGCCGGTTGTTTGTCTGAGTGTCGTTGAATCCTTAGTTATATATTATGTATATATGTATAGATATAAAGACTTTTATCTCACTTCAGTACATTCAGTCATACAAACAAGTCTACGAATAAACTATAATAGGTATAGTTTAGGGTTATACTACTTACTACTTCTAGTCCAATGAAGCATACAAGAGTCAGTTCATTCATGATTCATTACTTATTACTATGAGAACATATACAACTATACTAGGATAAGAACATATACAACTATACTAGGATGAGAACATATACAACTATACTAGGATGAGAACGTATACAACTATACTATGATGAGAACATATACAACTATACTA